AAGGGCCGACTCCAGAAGAGGGGCGGCCCAACCCAGGTCCAGGTCCAGGGTATCAGGTGTTTTCCTGCTTTGATGGCCTCTCAGCTCTGGAAACTCCCGTGACGAGCTCATTTGCAGGAACACCTCGTCCCCTAAAGCCTCACCCCCACTCTCCAGCTTGACCTCTGGCCCCTGAATGACTCAGGTCCTTGCTGGAGCCCATCACAGCTGGGTGGCAGGGTGGGCTCTCCCTTGGGAGGAATGGGACTGTCAGATGCTTGAGGTGTGGGGGCACTGGAAATTAAAGCAGCCAGGGAGAGGCAGTCTGGCACAGAGTCAAGAACAGTGGAGGGTGGGTGAGGAAGCACACAGCTGCAGCCCAGGCAGCCTTCCCGGGTAGGGAGGGCTCCTGATGCCAGGCTCAGTCACAGGAAAGAGGCACCTTTCCAATTGCCATTGCAGCACCCAGGACACTGAGCTGCCTTGGCATGGCCTTGCACATGGGAAGGTGGAGGGAGCGCTGCTGGTCTCAGGGATTCATACTGTACCAACATGCTGCCCAGAGCAGGTCCCCAGCCCCTGCTGTAGGGGTAGATCTAGGAGAATGAGGCCGAAATCCCAGACCTGTCTCACAATGGCTGTGTGGCTTCGGGCAGGTAACTAACCTCTCTGAGCCTCCATTTTCTCATCTGTAAAAATGGATGACAGCGATGACTGTCTCCTGAGAGGGACGTAAGGACTTGGCATACAACAAAGCTCAGGATCCAGTTTCGGGGGCCTGCCATGGTTGCGGGGTGGGGATTTGATTACCCTGAGATTATGGTGGAGTGAAGCACAGCCACCAGTCCTGTCCCCTGCCACTCCAGGCCAATACTTTTCCATAGACCAGGGCTGAAGGACGCACTAACCTACCTAGATCCCAGGTAATCTGGGATGACAATGCGGGAAAGGCACAAAGGGGTCATTTCACAGCTGGAAAGAGAGAGGCTTAAAGGGGTGGCAAGTGACCAGCTTCTCCTCCTCCTGCCATGGGCCAGAACAAAGTCCAGACAAACTCAGGGCTCCCACGGGCAGGCCACTCCACAAGACAGCCTCAGGCACAAACTTCCCTCTACCCAGGATGATAAAGTAGCCACTCCTCAACAACTACCAGGTGCTTGGCAGGCCTGGGCTCTTGTCCTCACCACAACCCTGTGACATTAACCCTTCCGTCTGCAGATGAGAATAAGAGACAGAGGCTGATTTGCCCAAGGGCACTTGCTTATAATGGCAGAGACAGATCCTGATCACTAAGCATGAAGTCCCTGTGAGTCGGGGGTCTTCTCTCTTGAATGTTGTCAACACAAGCCACCCCCTAAGTCCGAAATCTTCACACCCAAGCCCGGGAAGCCAGCGTCTCCCTCCTAACTGGCCCCTGGGTTGTGTGCAGCCCCTCTCCCTCCTCCATCCCCAGACTCCAATTGGGCAGGGGCAGGCGTGCTGGCCAGTCATCCCTGACTGCAATTCCCTGGTACACTCTCAGGGCAAGAGAAGTGCCCAGGGCTAGAGGCTGTTAGGGGAGGACCCAAGATGAACTCTCTGCCCCCCAACACCTGTGCCAAGGCTATCTTGGTGTTGGCACAGTTTCCTAGGCTGTGGGGATAAGGAAAGAGGAAACCAGCCCCCTGCATAGTAAGAAGGATGCCCCTCCAGGAAAGGGAACATTTGGTTCACAGCTGAAGTGACTAAGGCACAGAGAGGTCTCAGGTGCCCCTGGCTACCCACCTCAGGGGGACTCATATGAGAGTGTAGGGGTCCTACAACTCCCAACCCCCATGGCCTCCTTAGCTCACACAGTTAGAGGCAGAGGGAGGAGGCTCAGATTTGCATGGCAAAGGCCAGGCAGGCTGAAAGTGGGAAACCAGCCTCCCCTCTCCTGCCCCACGCTGGACCTCACTGCCTTTGCTGCTGTGGGTGGTAGCCACGGATCAGGCCCAAACACAGTCCTGGTGGGAGGTGAACCAGGAACTGGAGGAGGGGGGGTCACACCTACCAAGTCTCCACACTGGCTATAGAGTGGAGCTGGCTATAGTCAGACGGGGGAGCCAGCCCCAGTCCTGGAGTCAGGCAAGGCTCCACACTGAACATGCAGCACAGGTCAGGAGGGGAACCCATTCGTAACAGCAGGAGTAGGAAGAGTCCTGGTTGGGCCCAGAGGACACTCAGACCAGCCACCTGGAGATCCTGTCCGTGTCCAGCTGGGGCCTGGCCAGGCAGTCAGTCTGAGGGGCCTTGGCACGCCTGACAGTCCTTCATGTCCTCAGAGTAGTCCTCAATCTGGATGGTCATGGTGTGGAAATGGAACTTCCCCTGGAGTTGGGCGCTGGCCACCTTCAGCACCTCCTGGGCATCTGCATTCCGAGCTGGGGGCCAAGAGGGCACACCGGGGATGCGCCAGAGAGCCATTTACTCACTCTTGGCCCTTTGCAACCAGCAGGACCCCAAGTCCTATGTCCCACTCCCAGCAGAACAGGATGGGGCCATGGACGTGAAGAAGGCCCTCCCCGCAATTCCACTCCTGCACCAGACACCCTCCAGGCCCAGCCCTGACATACGACGGAAAGAGCCGGCAAAGCCCTGGCCTTAAGGCTAAGGATCTGCCATGCTCTGCCTTAGCGCAAAAGCTTGGGCAAGGGGCTTGACCACCCACCTCCCTGCAGTCTGTTTCTTCAGTGATGAGATAAAAGAATGTGTTTAAGGTACCAGCACAGGGCTAGGCTCACTGCATGGCAAACATCTGGGGAGGGTCCCAGGCCTTTGGCTGTCTTCTCCCTCACCCCACCCTGAGTGTCCCAACCACTCACCAATGGCGATGTGGACAGACAGCACGGGCTGGGTCACTGTCAGCGCCCAGATATGCAGACTGTGCAAGGCTTCCACCCCCTCCACTGACAGCAACAGATCTCGCACGGCTGTGAAGTCCACACCCTTGGGAGTCCCTGAGGATGGGAGGGACGGGGGCTTAAGGAAATAGCCCATGGGTGCAGGACTGGTTCCCGCTCCTCTAATGTCACCTCCTCAGAGAAGACTTCCTTGGCTAGCAGATCTGATGTTGTCCCCACCTCCCAAACTCTCCATTCTATCACCTTGCTGTATCTTCCTTCTCACAATGTCTGAAATTATGTATTCATTTATTGTCTGTCTTGCTCTCTAAATGGAAACTCCATGACAGCAGAACTGTTTTGTTTACCAGTGTATCCTCAGTGCCTAGAACAGTGGAGTCTGCCCCATAGTAGGTGCTCAATAAATATATATATATGTTTTTTTTTTTTTGAGTTGGAGTCTCACTCTGTCGCCCAGACTGGAGTGCAGTGGCCAGCCACCGCAGCCTCAACCTGCTGGGCTCCGGCGATCCTTCCACCTCAGCCTTCTGAGTAGCCGGAATTATAGGCATGCGCTACCACGCCCGGCTGACTTTTTTGATTTATTGTAGAGATGAGGTCTCGTCAAGTTGCCCAGGTGGGTCTTGAACCCGCGGGTTTAGGCAATCCACTCACCTCAGCCTCCCAAGGCGCGGGATTGCAGGCTGAGCCACCGAGCCCAGCTCAGTAAATATATTTTTAAATGGAAGGAAAAAAAAGAAGGCAAGAACAGACCCTGAGAATTCATGGACCCACTGGGGGCACTATCATCCTTTTGTCTGGGTCTGTCACATATTGGAGAAAAATCTCTGGCCTGTAGCCAGTCACTCCTGCTAACCCCGGGACAGCACCCATCTCAACTCCAGAGACCCATGCGGAGACCAATGACCCTGGCCCAAAACCCAAGGCCCCAGAGCACAGGAAAGTCCAAGTGAAGGAAAGTGGTCATTCGGAGCAGACCATTCTCCACCACTGATGGTTCTCCAACCCCTGCAAAGGGCAGCCTTGTCCTCCAAGGCAGGGGCATAGTTTGGTCCCTGAGATGTCACCAGAAAGGCCTGAGCTGGCAGGGATTCCACAGCCATGTTCAAGACTGAAGACAGTGCAGGAAAGGCACGTCAAGAGAGAAGACCTGTCCTTTTTTGAGCTTCAGTCTGCCCCTCTGAGCAAGGAGAAGTATAATCTTTTCCCCCCTTTCTTCCTGAAAAGACTGAGGAAGCGTATGGGGGTACAGCTGGAACTCCAGTGCTATAGACACCACCCAGAAGCCACCCGGCTAGGCAGAAAAGACACATCCCAGCAGGGAAGGAGGCACCCTTGATGCTTGGGGAGAGGGGAGGCATGGGCCAGGGCACAGTTCTAGGAACTGTCAAATTTGAGGACCTAGGCTCTAATGCCAAGATCAGCCTAGGCTCCAGGAGGTTTTCAGCCTATACCAGGCTCCAGACCATGGTTTCCTGCCAATATGCTGGGATCCCCCAACACACACATACCCTACTGGAGGCTGATTAGAGCTTGAACGTCAAGAGAAAAAAAAGCCCCAAAGCCCAGGTTACCTTCCATCAGCACCAGGATCACATCTCTCAGGATGGTCAATGTCGTCCCCAGGACCAGGATGGAGAAGAGGAAGGTGCAGATGGGGTCTACATACTTGTACTCTGGCTGTAGGAAGAGGGATGGCAGACCTCACCACCCCGCATCTCATCTTTCTTTCTCACCTCCCACCCAGTACTATGTCAGGGAGAGGGGTTCTCTCGGTAGGGTGGGCATGAGCTTCGCCTGACCCCGCTTCCCAGTTTTCTACTCTATTCCAGGTCTGGGAGAGCAGGCAGGACAGACCACAGTTTGGGATAAGGTACAGTCCCTTCCCATCCTTCCTTGCCCGAGCAGCTGAGGCAGGGGCAGAGTAAAAAGGAATTTTGAACACCATCTGGTTCACAACCCCCACTTTATAGATGAGAAAATCGAGGAGGCTCTATTAGAGCAAGCAACTCACCCAACATCACATGACTGGCAAGGTGTGGAGCCAGGCTTCAAACCAAATGCCTGGCTCTTTCCACTATACCTGTCTGCCTCTGTGTGATGGGCAGTGCCCAGGCTTCAGCAACACAGAGACCTGGGTTTGAATCTGGCTCCCCAACTTACCAGCCGTGTGACACTGTGCAAGTCACTGAATATTTCTGAGCTGCCAAAAACACTGTCACCTACCCTTCAGGGTTTTTGTGAGGGTCAGAAGTGCTGACACTTGGGAGGTGTTGGACAAATGTTCCTTCCCTCTCTCCATCCTTTTTCCCAGAGCTGGGAGGGAACTAGAATCTGGAAAAGGCCCTGTGCAGGGAGGATCCCCAGATAACCTACACTCCCCTCCCCCCGCCTCCCTCTGTCCCCAGCTCTGACCTTGAAGTATACAATATAGGCTGCCACCAGGACACCCAAGCTCTGAAGAAAGTCTCCAATCACATGGATGAAGGCAGCTCGGACGCTGGGGTTCTCCTGCTGCTGGCTGGCGCCGTGGCTGTGCCCATGGCCAGACTGGTGAAGGGTCAACCCCATTCTGCGGAAGTGGAGACAAAGCCAAGGGGGTCACTGAGGTAGAAGGTAGAGGTCACTCATTAGGCCTGGCCTCCCCATGGGGCAAAATTTTCAAGCCCTGTGTGATCCCTTTGGCCATGTGAGGAGCCCAACCCATGTAGCCTTGGCTCAGAGAGCCACAAGAGAAAGGGCTCAGCTCCAATACCAGGTTGAGTCTGAGCACAAGGAGGCCACATGCCAAATCTCAGAGCAGGCAGCATTATGGAGGTCATCTAGTTCACCCTATCATGTCACAAATGGGGAACTGAGGCCACTGGGCAAGCAAGAGAAAGAGCCCAAATGAGGCACCCACTCTGCACCCCACTGCCTCTCATTGAGACCAATTTCAGGCACATCAGCTTAAAAAAGGACTTGGGCTCTGTTCCTAAGGACATCTACTGTTGCCAACAACTGTCCTCATCCCTCCCCACTTCAGGTATGAAGCCCCCAAGATTATCCACTGACATGTGTGTGGGAGAGGGCAGAGTTGACATGGCCCCAGATTTATAGCTCCCGATGTCGCTGGCTTAGGCAGGACCTGGGTGTTCCAGGTGCTAGAGCTCAGACCATTAGGGAAGTTCTATCCCCGTGGCCTATACTGGACCGTGGCATCCTTCCACCAAGAGCAGACATGGGTATGGATGTGAGAGGAGGAAGAGGGACTCAAAGGGAACTGGGGTCCCACTCACATGATGTTCACAGCCACAGCGCAGCCTGATGTGATCAGCATGGTTCCCCCCTCAATCTCATAGTCCCCAGAGATCAGCCGCTCCACAGCCAGGTACACCAGCACTCCAGTCACGACCCAGATGGACAGCACAGAGAGCAAGGCTCCCAGGATCTCTGAGGAAGAATCCCAACCCCAACCTCGGCACAGGATCTAAGGCTGAAGAGGTCTGCCTTCCCCTCCCTGCATGCTCTGACCCCTCCCACCCCTACAGTCAGGGCCTGAGTGAACTGGGCTCTGCTGAATGTATTGCTGGCACTTTGGCACCTTGCCTTGCTCTTCATATATCTGGGAATGTCGGAGCTAGAAGCAATCTAAGAAGTCATCTGGAGCCAGGCGCAGTGGCTCACGCCTGTAATTCCAATGCTTTGGGAGGCTGAGGTGAGAGGATTGTCTGAGACCAGGGTTTTGAGACCAGCCTAGGCAACTTGGCAAGACCTTGTCTCTATAGTAAATCAAAAAAATTAGCCGGGCATGGTGGTATATGCCTGTAGTTCCAGCTGCTTGGAAGTCTGAGGTGGAAGGATCACCTGAGCCCAGCAGGTCAAGGCTGAGGTGGCCATGAGTGTGCCACTCCCCTCTCAGCCTGGGTGGCAGTGAGACTCAGACTCAAAAAAAAAAAAAGGTCATCTGGATCTACCTTTTTTGTTTTATACATAAATTAACTGTCTTATTAAAATCTATGCCAGCCAGGTGCAGTAGCTCACACCTGTAATTTCTGCACTTTTGGAGGTGGAGGTAAGAGGATTGCCTGAGCTCAGGGGTTCGAGACCAGCCTGAGCAATATGGTGAGACCTCATCTCCACAATAAATTGGGCAACAGAGTGAGACTCTAAAAAAAGAAAAAACAAACAAACATATATATATATATATACACACACATATATAGATACATATATATGTATATACATATATATGTTTGTTTGTTTTTTCTTATATATATATATATGTATATATATACATATATATATACCTTTTGTTCAGCTGGTAAATTGAGGCTTTTGCTTCTGAGGAAGAGAGGCCGGGCCATCTCCCACACAGAGGAAAATGACAATATGACAATACAGCCCAGAGGTCAAAGCCTCTATCTTCCAGCAGGCTTTGCTGGCCTTTCCTTCCCCCAAGAGCTGATTCATGGAATTATGTGCAGCATTAATGCCACTGTCATTTGTTCTTGAAGCTTGGCTACTGCATTTTGTTTGTTTTTTTTTAGTTGGAGTCTCACTCTGTCGCCCAGACTGGAGTGCAGTGGCCGCTCCTGGCCACCACAGCCTCGACCTGCTGGGCTCTGGCAATCCTTCCACCTCAGCCTTCCAAGTAGCTGGAACTACAGGCACACACTACCACACCTGGCTAAATTTTTTTGATGTATTGTAGAGATGAGGTCTCACCAAGTTGCCCAGGCGGGTCTTAAACCCGCGGGCTCAGGCGATCCACTTCATCTCAGCCTCCCAAGGCGCGGGATTACAGGCTGAGCCACTGAGCTCGGCTGGCTACTGCATTTTTTTAGGAAGGTGAACATGACTTCCCTGCTGCAGACTGGGAGTTTCTGGAAAACTGGGACCAGGGTTTCCCCATGAGACAGGGAGTTCCCAGAGGACAGAGGCCAAGGTTGACATCCTCCTCCTTCTCCATCCAGGTCACTCTCCTGCCCCCACTCAGAGACCCATCCATGACAACCATCTAATAACCCCTGTTCTGACCCACCCTCTCTCTCAATCCCACCTCCAGTCCAACTGAGTCCTTACCAGCTCGCTGCCAGCCGAAGTTCATGGTCTTGGTGGCTGGCCTGGAGGCCATCCAGAGGGAGAAAAGGCTGATAAGCATGGTGGCAAAGTCAGTGAGCAGGTGGGCTGCATCGGTCATGATGGCCAAGCTGTGTGCCAGATACCCACCTACAGGGGCAGGGCCGGGAGAGTAGAGAGTCCTTATCGGCTCGCCCAAAGAGCCACCTCCCCAGTCTGTGTGTGCAGCAAGACTAAATTTCCACTCCCTTTGAAATGGGCCAACAACATCTCCTTAGAGGGTGAATGTGAAATCAAGTTCAAACAGGGACTGGAAAACATAGCAGGCAGGAAAGAGTAAATGGTCTTTCCTTCTAGGAATTCAGGCCTTCCTTTACCTATATGTGATCTTTGGCTAGTTACTTAACCTCAAATACCTGTTTCATCATCTGTAAAATAAGGATAAGAATAGCACCCAAACCTGGTGCAGTGGCTCACACCTGTAATCCCAGCACTTTGGGAAGCGGAGGCGAAAGGATTGCCTGAGCCCAGGAGTTTGAGACCAGCCTGGGCAACATGGTGAGGCACTGTCTCTACAATAAATCAAATTAGCCAGGTGTGGTGGCACGAGCCTTTAGTTCCATCTACTTGGAAGGCTGAGGTAGGATTGCCTGAGCCCGGCAGGTCAAGGCTGCAGTGGCCGTGAGTGTGCCACTGCACTCCAGCCTAGGGGACAGAGTGAGACTTCAACTAAAAACAAAACAAAACAATAACAGCATCCATTTGATAGCACAAGCTTGGAACTGCATGAGATAATGTGTAGGTAACGGACTTAGTATAATGAATATTCAGTAGATGGGGCTACTAGTGTTAATATTACTGGGAACATCTGGCCTATCCATGTGCCAACCTCATTTAAGTAGCCAAAAATCCTCACCAATGACTTCTCCGATCATGAACACCAGGCAGATGGCAGAGGCCACATAGAGCTGGCGCCGGGCCTTCTCCTTCTGGGGGTCACAGTGACTGCCAGGACCCTTCTGGGCATGGCAGTAATGGTTGCTCTGGGTAGTAATGACTTGCAAGTCCAGGCCAGGTCCAGGTAGAGGGATCCAACCAGTCCCATCCTGCCACAGAGATCCTGTGTATGACCTGGTCAGAGAGGAAGGGACAGGGAGTACTCAGCTCTGACACGGGACAAGGAGGGTTGACTCCAGTCCCATCTCTCTGCCAGGCCTTGATGTTCCCACGTGTCCAACACGAAGAATGGCTAGACACTCCCAAGCTCATTAGTCCCTGAGGAGTGACCAGAGGTGAGAAGCACGTGTTTAGAGGGGGCTGCAGGAAAAATGGGACTTGGGGCTTTCCCTCCTCTCCCACCCCTTCCAAGTCTAAAGGAGGCGAAGACCTTGGGAACTTGCCAAGGAACAGGCTGTCCGGAGCGCGGAGAAGGAGCAGTGCCCCCCTCCTGCGCAGGGCCTCCCCAGGGCAGGGCTGCCTGGGGGCAAAGTGCTGGGCAGAGGCGGAATTCCAAGCATTGGACCTCCCCTTCCCGCGGGCAAGGGCCAGGATCTCCGCCAGGCCCCAAGACAGAGACGATCTCCAGGTCCGGGACCCTGGTCAGTTTCCTCTCTCTCCCTCGCCTCACTTCACCCTGCGTGGTCCCAGTCCAATCGGCCGCCCAAATCAAACACCACTTGGATGGCAAGTCAGGAGTCGTCGGATGCCGCCCAAATTCCCGCCCCTCCCCGGCTCCCGCCTTACCGGACTCCGAGCCTGGCGTCCAACAGGTGCCGCTTCTCCGTGGCCTCCATGCGGCCCCGCGCTGGGTACGGGCGGCCACGTGCCACCGCCCCGCCAGGTGCGCCCTGGAAGTTGCGCGCGAGACGCTCCGGGACGCGCACCCACTTGCCGGGAGGGTCTCGCCCGCTGCGCCCACCCCGGCTTCGGCTCCGGCTCCGGCTCCGGCTCCCGCTCGCGCTCCCGCTCCGCGCTCCGCACGCCGAGCCCTCCCGAGTCTCGGGCCCCGCCGCTGCGCCCCGCGCCCGCCCGCCTTATCCGGCCCTCGCCACCCCGTGTGAAGCGACCTGCGGCGCGTCGTGTGCAAAAGCCCGCGAGGAAGGGGGAGGGGGTGGCCGGCTGCAAAGGGCGTACCGGCGCCGGCCCCGCGCACCCGTTCTGCGCCCGTGGGCCGCGAGGGGCCGGGGCGCCCCGCCTGTGGCGAAAAGCCTGACAGTCTTCGCCCGGCGAAGCCGCTGGGTGTTGCTGGGCGAGGACTGGGTGACGCTGCGCCCACGCTCCCGCGCGGGCCGGCCGCGTCCCCACCGAGCAGTTCTCGGACCTTGGATTGTAGAAATTCGCCCTGGTGGGTCTGACGCAGGAGGGCGGCTCCTCGCCTCAGAATTGGGGCTACTGGGGTCGCGTCTCCCCCCTCAGACGGGAGACTGCCCGGGCTTGATCACATCTGACCTCCAGGTGGAGACTCCCAAGGTCGGCTTGCGGCTCTGGTATTTCCCCTCGGGCTAGGGGGCTCCAGGCGCTGACTGGGGAGTGTCCTTCCTTAGGGCGTGCTGGGACTGACCCACACATCCCTGCCACCCAGGCAGCGCCAGCCTTTCCTCTCCTCTCCTCTCCTGAGCTCTGGTTAGAACCTGCAGTGGCTGGCTTGATATCCACCCTAGGAAGAGTAGTGTGGCTTCATCAGCAGTCACCCCCAGGGCAGAGCTGACAACAGCCACTGCCACCAGTCCTTCTTCCCTGCCCGAAGTGGCTCTGGGACGCCCAGGAAGCAAATGCAGGGGAGATGCAGGCAGAAGGTGCCTCACGGTGGTGCCCTGGGAGAAGCTGGCCTGACCCTGGACACCCTGCCCACTTGAAGCAGCATCTCCGAGGCGGTCTTCCTAGGACTTGGAGGCCTGTGGCTCTCATGATGGCTTCTGACGGGTGCCCTCTATGTAGAGAGAATTTTGGACTGGAGACCTCTCTGGCTGGCCACTCCCATCCCCAGTGCCCTCGGTGGCCAAGACCTTAACTCAGTGGGCAGAGAGTCCTTTGCAGAGACAAGAGGCTGGGGTGTAGGCCTCTTGCTCACACTGCTGGGCACCAGGAGGGGATCTTTCAGTCTCTTGCCCTGCGGGAGTCATTTTGTTAGGAGACAAGGTGGTGCAGAGTGAGGATGAGACAGACCTGCTTTTCTTTCTTTCTTTCTTTCTTTTTTTGATTTGGAGTCTTGCTGTCACCCAGGCTGGAGTGTAGTGGCATGCTCACTGGCCACTGCAGCCTCTATCTGCTGGATTCAGGCGATACTTCCACCTCAACCTTTCAAGTATCTGGGAATACAGGTGCATGCTACCCATGCCCGGCTAATTTTTTTGATTTATGGTAGAGATAAGGTCTTGTCAAGTTGTCCAGGCTGGTCTCGAACCCCTGGGGTCAGGCAATTCTCTCACCTCAGCCTCCCAAAGTGCTGTGATTTCAGGCGTGAGCCACTGCACCTGCCTATACTTTTAAATATATATATATATATATATATATATTTTGGCCGGGTGCAATGACTCAAGCTTGTAATCTTTGAGAGGCCGAGGCAAGAGGATTGCCTAAACCCAGGGGTTCAAGACCAGCCTAGGTAACTGAGCGAGACCCCATCTCTACAATGCATTTTTAAAAAAATTAACTGGGCGTGGTGGCACGTGCCTGTAGTTCCAGCTACTTGAAAGGCTGAGGTGGAAGGATCACCTGAGCCCAGCAGGTTGAGGCTGTGGTGGCTGTGAGTGTGCCACTGCACTCCAGCCTGGGCGACAGAGTGAGACTCTAACTCAAATATATATATTTAATATTTTTCAGAATTAAAGGCTTAGGAAAAAAATCTTTCTTGGTGATTCTTATGTAGTACCTATGGAACGCTAAGATTAATTGGAAGAATACTGAAGCCAGTTTTCTTCTCTTGAAAGGAAGATTGTTGATCAAGAACGCTTCATACCATTTAAAGTGTTCTAGTTCGCAAGGACAGGAAGTGCCCTTCATGTGCAAAGGAGAGATCACCTTATTTGCAATTAACAGATATCTTCCTTGAAACTTTCTTTTTTTTTGAGTTGGAGTCTCACTCTGTTGCCCAGACTGGAGTGCAGTGGCTGCTCCCGGCCACCGCAGCCTCGACCTG